CAAAATTTCCTCTAAATCTTATTGTTTTGTACATTTTGTATTATGTAACTCACAAATGTGTTGCAAAAGCTGGATAGCAATTGAATGTGAAATGTTTCTGTTGGAGAAAAAATGTTTGCTGGCTGTTTGTTGGAGTAATGCGTGGCTGCGATTTGACAGATTTGCACTGGGCCAGTAAAGAAGCACTATTAAACATGCTGTGTTTTCGTTGGGTAGCCTAGTTATTTGTGAAAATAGCAGAAATTCTTCTGGAGAATGCTTTTTTATTGTTTATTTATTTTGAATGTGCCTTTTATTGTGTGCTCATAGAAGTATGAATTAATGTAACCTCAAGCAACAGCCTGCATGAAACCATGATAACAGGATTCTGTTCTCATTATTAAATATAAAGGAGCTCGTGGTTATTACGCATCATTGAAATATTCCAGTGATCCACCCTGTCACACTTAGTTTTGCCAATAAAGGCGTGCATTTTTTTGTTCTAATTTGTGATGTTGAAGTAAAAGTTCCCATAGACTTTATGTCTGCTTGAAGTCTCTTTTTCAGTTTACTCAGACTCTTCCTGTTGAAGCAGGCCAGCCCTCTCCCACACTGCTGTATCAATTGGAAAAGACAGGATGGAAGGATACTCTTTCTGCATGACTTCAGGTCACTGTGGATTATTATTTAAGAGACAGGTCTTTCTCGTAGACATGCTGACCTAAGCGTTATCTCTCTGAGTTACAGCTGGGCGTGAAAAAAAAAAACAATAGCATGAGTTATAAATCGAACTGATTGCTTATATATAGTTGTCACTGCATTTTAACATTAAGAAATTGTTTAATTTTTCTTTTGACTTCCTTAACCATTCCATAGTCAAATTATTCATGTAAAGAGGAAAAATGACTCATTTCTGAAAGCGCTTGACACGGTTTGCAGTGTCAGTAACACACATCACAACCACTGGTATTTCAATATAATCAACCATCACTGGAGCCAGCACATTTTCCCAAACAACCTCTCATATTTTGGCTGGCAGGCAGACAGACAGACAGCAGACAGAGATAGACAGACAGACAGACAGATGGATAGATAGATAGGGAGGTGACAGAAAGCAGACAGAGATAGATGGATGGATAGATAGATAGATAGATAGATAGGCAGATAGACAGACAGATAGATAGATAGATAGATAGATAGGGAGGGAGGTGACAGAAAGCAGACAGAGATAGATAGATAGATAGATAGATAGACAGACGGACAGACAGGCAGGCAGGCAGACAGACAGCAGACCGATAGATAGATGGATAGATAGATAGGGAAGTGACAGAAAGCAGACATAGATAGATAGACAGACAGACAGACAGGTAGGTAGATAGATAGATAGACAGGTAGACAGACAGACAGACAGATAGGTGACAGAAAGCAGACATAGATAGATAGATAGATAGACAGACAGATAGATAGATGGATAGATAGATAGGGAGGTGACAGAAAGCAGACAGAGATAGATAGATAGACACAGGTAGATAGATAGATAGGTAGACAGACAGATAGGTGACAAAGCAGACATAGATAGACAGACAGATAGATAGATAGATAGATAGATAGATAGGGAGGTGACAGAAAGCAGACATAGATAGATAGATAGATAGACAGACAGACAGACAGACAGACAGACAGATAGGGAGGTGACAGAAAGCAGACATAGATAGACAGGTAGATAGATAGATAGACAGACAGACAGACAGGTAGGTAGATAGGTAGATAGATAGATAGATCGATCTCAGTGTTTTCCAGGGCAGTCTGTCCTGTCGGCAGTTTAAGCATTGGCCTAAGGCACTGACACTGAGGAACCATTAAAATATTAGACACAGATGGATGTCAACACTTACCACAATAATGGTGACAAGTTAAAATGAGCAGTGAAAAATCACCACTGAGATGACAATAAATATAATACAATAGAACAGAAAATAGTAATCAGCATGCTGGGAACTCAAGTAGGCATAGAGCATTACAATTTGCAGTGTTCATTAGCATTGTGAAAGAAAAACAAGATTGAAATTTATTTTAATTTCCATCTTTCTCTGATTTTATTAGTCTGAGTGGCCCGACATAAAAACACCACCAGCATTTGGTGTTGCTAATGCTGTCAAAATCACACACGGCACCTTTAAGCATTGATCTTGTTTACAGAAGTTCCTGGTGGTGGCATTAGGGAGGTTCTCTCAACATTCCTATTCAGTATTTATGACCCGTATAGAACCTTCAGGAGTACTTTACTTTCACACAGTCCATCTGGTTGCACACACAAGGACAAAGAGGTGCTACGTGAGGTCCCTCACATAGCTGAGTTGATGTGCCAAGTTTTTGAGAACCTTACTCTTCTGTGCAAGACCAAAGGAGCATGGAGATGCCAAGTGCCTGCCTTCTCATGTCTGAAAGTCCTGCAGTGTAGAAACCTCCTGTGAATAGGCCTACCTTTATCCTTGACTGTCACTGAACACCTGCTACCTACCTAGATGGCATAATCCAGTCGCAGCAAAATTATTATGCCTTATAAGCATATTTAAGACTATATGCAGCCTATGCAGAAAATTCTAGAATGCCCAGTGACAAGCTCAGTGAAAAACATTATATATTATGGATTAATCATTATTAGCATTATTCATTATATATGGCACAGTCAAGAGAAATGTTAATTATAAAATACGTTTCATCCAATAATAGAAGTGTTTGACCGCTGCATTTGTGGATGTCCAAAACACACACTCAAGTTAAAGGAAGCTCAACTTTTATAACTGTGTTATATGTGTTTTTAATCCCATTGCCTTGCGTCTTGCGGTTTTAATATCAAAGAAATGTGTTCTGTATGAATGGGCCCTTAGCCTTGTTTCATTTTTTTTCAATAGGGAACAAGAAGTTGAAAGTTCTGCACTGCCAATTGTGTTATATAGCATGGGGTTAATGGAATTACTTTCTCTTTACTGAAAATGTCTTCGTAAATTCCCTCTTTTCAGAATGAAAATTGCAACACAATGACCACACTGACTCTGCAGCATTTCCCTTCCACTTTCACAAACTAGCCTTGCTATGGGGGATGAAAGTTGTGACCTAGGCCTTTAAATTCATAATGGTAAAACACAAGAACACTATTGATTGTGTATACAGCATATGTGGTGTATTTAGGAATAGTCAATATGGTCATTTTTTTTCAGTAATTTACTGGGTTTAATGTGTGAAAGGGGCTGTAAAGATGGAGAATGGACATGGAGACGAGCCCAGATCATTTTTATTGCCTAATCATGACCCTAGTTTTTCTAATTTATATAGGCTATAATTTATTGACTACAAAGTTCTGCAAAGAGCCTGTAGCATTATCTGTAGTATAGTGCAATACAATATAACATAATATATTGCAGAGCAAAGGTTTAGAGATTTATTTGATTCATTTAATTCACAAACACTTTTATATTTCCTCGGGATGGAGAGTTTGGTGGATGTATCGCCCATCCAAAAGTATTGAATGCAGTTTCCCTTAAGGCGCTGAATTAAAACCACACTGATTTCTACATTTTTGAAAATAACCACAGAGGGAGATGGACAATGGGAAAATAGCTAAATGTTATACTACAGGAAGGAGATTTTGAACTTTAACAGACACACACAAACGGGAATATGATAGGGCTCAGATTCTTGTCCTGGCACATGTGAAAGAGAGATTTTCAGAGTAGATGTCCTATAACAGCACGGGAAACATGCATTATTGTTTCTTGCCACTAGTGAGTGCTGTTGCTTAAAGGCCCTGTTATTTAAGTCAGTGTTTCCCAACCAAGAGATACTTGGTTGTTGAAGAAGTGATATATGATCCTTTTTGATGACAAAAAAGGTGGGACTGTTTGATGGGACTGTGGGAAAACAAACAAAAAAACACAGCTTTAAGAGTGTATTAAGATTAAACTGTTTTGGGCAATTTGATGAAAAATGCAATGTTCTCCAGACGTCAGAAATAATGATGTCAAATGTGCAAGGTCTATGTTTCTAAACTATAGTGTATTTATTTACTTACCACAAATACCATTAATTTGTTTAAATTAGGTCAAATTTAACTATATAATGTTCTTGGTTGAAGATGCCACTGGTACTCATGTATCACCAACCTTCTGTTGTCAATTTCCTGCTGCTTCTTAATTTTCTTATTATTATTAAAATAACAATTACTTTTCTTTAGGCTTATTAATAATAATAATAACAATACTACTACTAATAATAATAATAATAATATACATTTTTTATTTATCATGGCCTTTGTTTATACTTTTATTGAGACTATATTATAATCTGTCTCTTTTTACACTCTTTTTTCAAATGTGCAAGGTCTATGGTTTCTAAATATAGTGTATTTATTTACTTACCACAAATACCATTTAATTTGTTTAAATTAGGTCAAATTTAACTATATAATGTTCTTGGTTGAAGATGCCACTGGTACTCGTGTATCACCAACCTTCTGTTGTCAATTTCCTGCTGCTTCTTAATTTTCTTATTATTATTAAAATAACAATTACTTTTCTTTAGGCTTATTAATAATAATAATAACAATACTACTACTACTAATAATAATAATATACATTTTTTATTTATCATGGCCTTTGTTTATACATGTCAAATGTGCAAGGTCTATGTTTCTAAACTATAGTGTATTTATTTACTTACCACAAATACCATTTAATTTGTTTAAATTAGGTCAAATTTAACTATATAATGTTCTTGGTTGAAGATGCCACTGGTACTCGTGTATCACCAACCTTCTGTTGTCAATTTCCTGCTGCTTCTTAATTTTCTTCTTATTTATTAAAATAACAATTACTTTTCTTTAGGCTTATTAATAATAATAATAACAATACTACTACTAATAATAATAATAATAATATACATTTTTTATTTATCATGGCCTTTGTTTATACTTTTATTGAGACTATATTATAATCTGTCTCTTTTTACACTCTTTTTTGCAGAGTTCTTCCTTAGTAAACGTAAACAACACTGCTAAAGGTAAGAGAATGACCTCATGACCTAAAACATAACAAATGCAGTCTTATATACATCAGTGTGTTTGCAAAGTTTAGAGCAACTACGACTCAACTATGAGTTTTTTTTCCATCTATTTTTCTCTGTTTACTTTTTTTTTTTTTTTTGTCTTGTTATGAGGATCAGACACACATGAGAAATGGATATTTTACAGCAGGAACTGTACAAAAGAGACTGTACATTATATTAAAACCTACAAAGTCATTTTACTTGCCATGTGTTATTTATTAAGCAGAGCTCTTTTGGCTATTTTTGAAACAAACATGCTGCCAGATAAATATTTATAGTCTCTATTTCAAACGTAAATGAGAAACTTACACTTATTCAATAATAAGAGTAATATGGCAATAAGAAGCCAAAATTGGTAATAAAGAACCATTCTCTGCAAGATCCCATGCATAGGATGGTTTTTTTTGTGTGTGTGTGAAATCCTGATAAATGTTTTCTCTGTTTTACTTTTTTTTTTTTTTTGTCTTGTTATGAGGATCAGACACACATGAGAAATGGATATTTTACAGCAGGAACTGTACAAAAGAGACTGTACATTATATTAAAACCTACAAAGTCATTTTACTTGCCATGTGTTATTTATTAAGCAGAGCTCTTTTGGCTATTTTTGAAACAAACATGCTGCCAGATAAATATTTATAGTCTCTATTTCAAACGTAAATGAGAAACTTACACTTATTCAATAATAAGAGTAATATGGCAATAAGAAGCCAAAATTGGTAATAAAACCATTCTCTGCAAGATCCCATGCATAGGACGGTTTTTTTTGTGTGTGTGTGAAATCCTGATAAATGAAAAACAGGATATGCACACACGCACTGCAGAGGTTTTTCTTGTTGCATTTTCCCAGAGATTTCAGAAATCAAACTATGTAAAGAAAATCTATATTATTTGTACATTTCTGCATAGGTAAATATGGATCATACATACATTTGCCTTGAGAAATAAGGACAAAAATGTTTTGATTATGAGGTTTGGACTTTTAGTAACTATAGGTATGATTCTAATGAGAACTATGAGTCTAATGAGGCACATTTAATACAAATTTCTGTCATGAAACTCTGGATGGCAGAGGCCCGATTCTAACCCAGTGTGATATAATCACATGATTATTCACATGGCACAGCTGATTGGTTTCTTTCACATCAGCAGCCAATGAGATTGCTGCTCAGCTTCAGAAACCCTCCACCTCCCCCAGCTCCACCTGTGTAGATCTGCTACAGAGTGATTTCATGTATGCTATAAATGGGGGTTATTTTTTATATTATATGTGCAGCAGCAGTATTTCTTACATGCTCACAGCAGCATGCTGTGGATGTATTGGCAGTAGCAAGTAGCAAGCCGCGTAGCAGATCTATTCCGCCAAGACCAGACACCTTAACATTGCCAAGTATAGTACCATGTTAAACTCTCCAAGAATTGTCATAACAGAATTATTGTTGAATGTGGATCATGTAGCATATAGATATAGTAATCTCATCTCAAATGAGTTACTAGCATTTTGATAGACCTCACACTCACTAATCAGTTCATAGTTTGCTCAGTGATTGCTTCCAAATGCTCAGTAATTTCTTCTTGTATATTCATGCACACTTGTAAAGGTCAAAGCCTTGTATTTCTCTTGCTGTGTTGCAGTGATGCTGTTTCAAGAGGTTTGGGGGAAAAGCTTCTGCCGCACTATAGAGAAGCTAGTGGAAGTGGTTCAGGAGTACCCTGGGGAGGTGGAGCACATTTTCAGCCCTGCCTGCGTGCCATTGGTCCGCTGCGCTGGTTGCTGTGGAGATGAGAATCTGGAGTGTCACCCTACACTTACTTCTAACACTACCATGCAAGTAAGGATTTTTCATTCGTCAAGGCCAACAATATTTACTGTTTCAAAAGTAGCACAAAAGATGGTACCAGTAATTATGAATACTAGCTCATACTTTTATATATCGACTGTTTGGACTTTCACTTTGGATGCTTTTTCACTAAAGTAATATCTATGTAGGAGACTTTGTTTTGTCTGTGTCAGGCACATGGTCGCTATAGATATTAATATTATGACTTTTTCAGTTATTAAAGATTAAGCCAGCGGAGCAGGGCCAGGAATATGTGGAGATGACCTTTGTGGAGCACAAAGCCTGTGAATGTAGGTAAGGAAGAGATCAATTTTGTTCATGCAACCACATGTTTTGCATTGTGACACAGCTTTGTATTGATATTGTAGATATGAATATTGAACATAAATGTTGAATTGAAAATTTGTATCAAGTACGAAAAATGTGTTCGTAATAATCTCTCCGCTTTTCTCTCTGCTTTCTCTTACATTGTGATGCCAAGACTAAGAAAACCTACAAAGAAACAAGACAGGTAACAAGTTACTACTCTGACGCAGTTACACTTTAGTAGACAAACAAATTGAAATTACAATGATGATTCATTTTGTTGTAGATTGAAACCCAGAAACAGAGGGAGAAAAAGGAAGGAGAAAAAGAGAGTGAAAGATTGTGACACGTAAGTTAAATATTGATGGTTTTACATTAGCATGTTGCTAAGCTAACAATTCAATACTCTAATACGCATAGATAAGCACAAAATACACTCAGAAATTAAGTAACAGTTTATTTTTAAGAGGACTGAACTCATTTTTAACTAAACTTTCCTGTACAGAATGAAATCTAAAAATATTTGTTATCAGCATCTGCCATATTTGATTCATTTTTTTGGTCACACTTTATTTTAAGGTCCAGTTCTCACTATTAATTAACTATTAACTACGACTTTTGCCTCAATAAACTCCTAATTACTGCTTAATAAGGTAGTTCTTAAGTTATTTATTATGTAGGATGTAGAATATGGTCATGCAGAATTTGTGCTTAAATTATAAGCACTAATAAACAGCCGATATCCTAGTAATATGCATGCTAATAAGCAACTAGTTAATAGTGAGAATTGGTCCCTAAACTAAAGTGTTACCGATTTTATTTTATTTATTTATTTTTTTAGTAAAAATGAACCTCTACTTGACCTGACCCTTAAAAATTCTTAATTGTCCAGAGCAATATTTAAAGGCTTCTAGTTCTCTGTGATGTACACATCTCACAACACGTAATAAAATATTAGCTTAGCATAGTTAGAAAAAGAAAGTATATGCATAAAATGTTTAAAAATAGTTTTATAATATTTTATCAATTTAGATGACTTTTCCAAGTCTAGTCACAATTTTATTGTGAGTTCCAAAACTTTAAGAAACTAAGAGAGGGTAAAATAAGAAATATCTTTAGTCATTTTAGCTATAATCCTAATGTTTGTTTTGACTTTATTTTAAATAATTTCAAGTCATCTTGAGGCCCCTTTAGAAGTTTAATGATGTCCACTAATGAGTTAAGAACCACTGGTGTAAACTAGTCTGGTTGATTCAGTCATATAAACTTTTGCAATTAAAACCAGTTAGTTCATATATAACCTCATGAGGAACCTCGTCCCTCTAGGTTCTGAAACAAAGCTGTAATGAAGTCTCAACATTTCAGTGACATTTTGATAAGAGCAGAGGTTTTTGATGTACTTAAAGGACACAGAGTACAAAGAGTGCATTGTTCTCTGAGCATAAGCGGCACACTTGTATTAATTTGTGCTCTCTTACAGGTGTCAGCCTCCCCGTAGGTAAATGCTGTCTCGCCGTGATGCCAGCCAATCGCGCGCATCTGCCCCCTTCTGTGCGACCCTCACCGTCATCATTCACTTATGGGTACTGCCACTGCTCTGCACCCCACCATCCCAGATGCAGAGTTGATATGGTGATGGGGCTTCTGTCAGCACACGGGGGGCCTTCCAGTCATCTATACAGGAAACTCCTGTTGTGCAGCTCTCTACAGAAGAAAAACAACCGAAGACCAAACCTAAAATCCAAGACTGAATAAACCCCTAGGGACTTATGTTATTATATTATTATTATTATATTGTTTTATAATAGTAGTAGTGAAAGTCATAAAGTAATATTAGTGATAGTACTGGTTTAGCTGCCAAGTCTTCCCCTTTTATTTATTAAAATCCACTGAAGTAAAACTGGTGCATTTCATTAATCAATACATTTACAAAGCCATTGTGTATCTGGTCATAAATCTAAAAGGAAGCACAGAACAAAATGCCAAATATCATCTCTTTAGATTCTATATTACTGCTATGCTATGACTATATTACAATTTACTAATGTGAAAACCGTCTTAGAAGATTTTTAGTACATAGTATTTTCTGTTGACGTTCTGAAGCTTCTCTGTGACTTCAGCATTAAATTGACATACTGACCTCTAGTGGTGATAATAAAATAATCACGTTCAGTAAGTGTTTTTCAAATAATACTGATCTGAAAGCCATCCCATTATGATATATATTACTATAATATTTCAACTTTGGCAAAAATAAAAGTGTGCACTGTGTAAGGACAAAGACTTTGCTCTGAAAGGGCCAGTCAACAGGAACCGAGACAGACGTTCATCACGATATGAGTGAATGTTGGTGCTTTGTATTATTGTTTTGTAAGTGAAAATGACCGAATTTCCCACACTTTAGACTCCGGTCTATAAAGTGTCGAAATTAAACCAAAGAAGCATTATTATCTATGCTGCTGGCCCTAAATATAAATACAATAGTTTTCACCAAAGGGCTATTTAATTCCCAATGTATAAAATGTTGTATGTTTTTCAAAATGTTGTTAATATGTATTAATATTATACAACTTTAAGAGTACCTTTCGTAATAGAGTGACTATTGTTTGTTATTTCTGATAATTATTTAAAAATATTTTCTGAAACACTTGGCCTGTGTGTGCGTGTGTGATTTTGATCAAAGAATGGAATGGGTTTTTGTCTATGATTTATGTCATATACAAAACTTACTAAGGTTTCACTTTATTAATTGCATGATGACATACAATTAACATAAATATTGAACATTACAGTTAACATAAATCGAATTTAAAATACGGTTTAAATGTAGTTTAAAAGTCAGTTTAATAACATATCCCATTTGATTTCAGTAGTAAACTAAAGCATAAGTGTTTATTTTTAAGGGGAATTGGAAAGTCTAGTGTCACGTTCTTCATATAGTCAAGAAATTCAATAAAACAGTAAGTAAACCCAATGAAACATTTTTAGAATGATGTTTGTGTTTCTTAGGTTTTGGTCTTTTCATGTACCCAGTGTTCACATTGATTTGATGTATATGATTTCCATTTTAATGCAATATATATTTTGGCAATGAATAGTAGAACTGATGTCGTTTTTGTCGCATGACTATTGCTGGGGTTGGAGTTCTAGTGAAGATAGGCCTACTCAAGAGACTTTTCTGAGCCTGTTGGGAGGGCAATTCTGTGGTTGTTGCACTTTGCCAAAATCTATGTACTTTAGGGCATGTGGAAATTCATTTGTGTTTAATATTTCCATTGACTTTGAAAGCAAAGATCTTAAGGATCAGTTTCCAAGTGAATTCAGGTCCATCTGGACACATTCAGAAAGAAGGAACACCTAATATTTCTTAATACATTTGTTTTAAAATGTACAGCACTTGTGGACATGGCAAATAAATAAATAAAAAGATGTGGTTCAAATAATAATTGTAATATAATAATAATTATTATATATATAATATATATATATGTGTGTGTGTAGAATTGTGAAGCAAACTTTTTGCGTGTCATTGACGTTTGAATTGCGTACAAAACAACAACAGTTTTGTTTGTTACGTGGCTTTCATTCTGTGAACTACATTTTTTATACATTAAAAATTATGGGATGGAGAGGATGACGCTGCGGCGCGTGCTAGATTCACTCTTGACGCTGCGGTGCAGATTTCACGCCACACTTCAGAGTCACGTTTACAGTCGCAAGGGTTCATCTCCGCACCAATCAGAAGGCGCTATGCAAATATAAGGCGGGTCTTGCATAGGTAAGCAAGTGACGATTCGGCGGTTTCCCTGGTAACAGCCATTTAAGGCAGCCGAGAAGGCGGAGCTGTTTGTAAACTCACGTTGCTCTCTGTGCAATCCAGTTTCCAAAACAACAGAAATATAAGCTTAGTTTTCTCTCGTCAAGCGTCATTTCATACACAAGCCTTAACAAGAGAAGGAGTTTGAGGAGAATTGTTCTCGGTAAGTAAGGAAAAACGTGCATTTTGTGCTGTAGTGTGTGTTTATGGGAGAGTCTCGTGTTTGGCACCGTGTGTCAGGTGCTGCAGTAGCGGGTTCGCGACATTCAGACTCCGTTCATACTGTATGTATAAACTATTCAATACAAGATCTAAAACAAGGTGCCACTGTGGTTGCCAAGCTGTATTTTAAGATGTTAAGATGTTGTTTTTTTCTGTATGAGGGTGCATAAGGCTAGCACTTATATTCGTGGACTTGTTTACTTGTTTTCATAGCACTCTCTCAGTCTCTGCTTATGATTCATTCATGGGCTGTTTATTTACTATGATAAACTTTGCCTAGTAATATTTGCTAATTCATGATAAAGTGTGTTTTTGGGTGTGATAAACCCTATATTTGGTCTATAAGTGAGTAGGAGCTGCATTTCATTGGCTTGAGTCTTAAATGTGCTCATGTTACACTAGATCCTCTTTCAGGTTTTTGACTTACCTTTATTTAATCCATGACTCTGTCCTGCTCTCAGTCATTGCCTGGATCAGGGCTGTACCGATGGACTGAAATCCAACAAATCGGAGCACCAGAGAAGATCCAACATGGGCAACAAACGGAAAGCCTCCAGTGAGATCGACAGAGATTCAGGTTTGTCGTTTATAGATTTTCCAGCTTTGTGTTCTGTTGTGTATCATTAATTTCTCAGCTTACATGAGAAAGTAGATTTCACAGCCCTTGTTTTTTTTTTCTGTGTAAGTATTATGGTTTTAAGCTAAATATGGTGACAGTACTTGTCTTTCTCTCATGCTTTGGTATGATTATTACTAATCCCCCATTACTGATTATATTTATACAATATTGTCTATAATTACATTGTTATAGGTGTATAACTGCACATAATTACTGGGTTTTTACCCTTACCATATTACAATATTTTCTCACTGTAGATGCCAGCTCAGGATATTTTAGTGCTTTGGACCAGACAGAATTTGAAGACATAGGACCAACCAGTACTGCAACACAAAGCATGCCGGCAGCTCCTCAGGTGCCTTTCATTCCTGGCTCACATCCAGGCATCTCTCCCATGATCGTAATGAACAACCTTGTTCTCAAGCAGGTATGACACATTTCTGTAAGTCTCCTTGTCTCTTTATGTTGCTTTTCTGGAAAAGCTTTAGCTCATGACACATAACTGTCTTGTTGCAGTTACGGTATTGTTTTGGTCTCAAAGCTATGTTTACTAAATTTGTTGGTAGTTATAACTCATTACAGACATTTGCCTTGTGATTCTTGGATTGAATACTTTCCAGTGCTTTCTGCTCAGCATCTTTGGCTCACAAAATATTAAGGCTGAATAGGACGTTTGTAAATGATTTAAACTGATCTACGTGTTTTTATGTACCTTACTCAAAGTAGACAAAAAATGTGTTTCTAATATTATATGTATCAAATCTTAATTTTCATTAAATCTATATCAAAAACAGTGATTTATTCATAGCGAAAAGGCATTTGAATTACCCTTTAAAGCAGGGTTTCCCTACCATTTCAGTTGGGATATTGTGCTGTAGGTGAGATATTTCACAACACGTTTCCTCACCGAACCTAATTTAATTTATTGGTGTGGAATGTGGATAATTAAATGTTTCTATGATACGCAATAGGAGACAGGCTTTGATCACGCTCGATATTGCCTCTTGTGTGTACAGCTGTTTTCCATACACGCAAGATGTGATATCATTGCGCTTGCGCATTTCATGCCTGCTGCTGCTTCTTATCAGAGCAAGCAAGCGAAAACATGCTGCATACCTGAATGAGGCGATTACTATAAATATTGTTTTATAAATATTGCAGCTGGGTCAGTGACATAAGGGTATCTGCAATGAAGAAAAGGAAAAATCTAGTCATACAGTATATAAAAATGTACTTTCATGTGGTTTTGAAAAATGTCATGTAACATCATATAAAAAGAAATGATATATTTTCTTTTCACCTGGAGTTCATGTGAGAGCTTATGTGTATTTATATATACATAATAAATATACACAGCATACATACATATATTATGTAAACAAAAACTTTTATTTTGGATGCGATTAATTGCGATTAATTGTTTGACAGCACTAATATATATATATATATATATATAATATAAATTTTTTTGCAAATATTATGATTTATTCATTCATAAATATAATTGTCACCATATGACATATTACAACCTGTACAAACTTTGCCAAAAGTCAAATAATGTTGTTTTAAGAAAAAAATTGACACACAAACATGAGGATCTGTTTTTGATACCAAGACAGTTGCATCACCTTGACATTTTTGACTTGCGTGTCCCCCTAAAATAATCAATTTTAATAAAAACATTTTAATTCAGAAATTACAAACTATTAATTGAATCTATTATTGAATAAGACTGAAAAACATGTGACTCGTTGTTGTTGACTCCTGTTATTGTGAATGAGAACTAAAGAGTATGTGTCTGTTTTACAAAAATGTTCATTGATAATTCTTGTTTCAGCGTAACTCCGTGGCCCCTGCATTAAAACCTTGGGGCATAAACACTTCACTAGATGTGGTTCCTCAGTCCCAGCTGCTTTTCCTACAGCCAGTCATGCCAGCTGGTGACTGTACCGGCCAAAGCTCTGACAAGCAGAAACATTCCAGAAAGCATGTTCCCATGCAAAACAGCTTTCCAAAAATGTCCCCACATCTTGCACAAAGGTCTACAGTCGACGAGGGTCCCAGTGCTATCAATAAGAGGTCAAACCACAGTCATGCTGGAAGACATCAACGACGCCGTTATGATGAAAAACCTTTCCACACTTCCTCTTTGAAACAGGATGTGTCCGAGACGTTTAAAGATTACGATGTAGACCCCAACATTGCTTCTTTGGGAGAAATCGGTCACGCTGTTGAAGACGTAGCTGTGGAAGACTCCTCATCCAGGCTTTCTGACCTTCAGGAGCCCCACACCACCACTTCACCATTCTCACTGTGCACTGACTCCTTCCTCGCTTCATTCCCTCAAAAGAGTCCCGAAGCTTCAGACACCCAGAGCAGTGATGTGGAGAATATCCCAGAGGCACTCTCTCCAAGCTCCAGCAAACGCAAACGCTTCTGCAACACCTATAACATTTTGAATCGGTCAGGCCTGCTGGGTATCACACTGCGCACAAAGGAACTTATTCGACAAAATGAACGTTCCCAGGCCCAGCTTCAGAGTCTGCAGGCTCAGACTGACCTCTTCTTGGAGGCCATATGTAGTGGAGATCCCAAAGTCTGGACGAGATTGCAGCTTATCTTCCAGAACTCTAGAAACAACGAGGAGACACCAGTGGACTCACTGGTGGACTCTGTAAGGGGTGCAGAGCAGGATATCACAGATGTGGGTTGTATGGTGTAGTAGCAGGTTCGGATTTTATTATTTCAGCTGTTGTATCCTTGCTCCAACCGGCACTTTTCTAATCAATCGCTTAGCAAATTTTCAACATCTTGTCATAATATCAGTAGGAAACATCAAAGATTTGAGTCTTCAGTAGAGTCCAGAGATCTAGTTATCACTCCAAGCGTTATCTATCCAACAGTA